TTTTCACTAAGTCTCTTACTGGTTCTCGTATTAGTTACATGTGTAACAAGCTCGGTACATATGATGTGTATGCACCGGCTTGAAGGGGAGTGTTAGTTTATAGATATGTATAGTGTAGTCTTGTCCCACATTGGAAGAGGAGTAATATCTCCTTGTAGTGTATAGCTATAAATAGAGACCTTTTGTATTGTATTTATCATCCAATATCAATAATATATTTTCTCCTGTGACTTCTTACAGACACATCACACATGGACTACCCTCCTCAGACCCCACCTTGTGGGATCACACTGGGTTTCTGGTTTGTTGTTTTACTCTTCTGCATGTTTAAATTGTTAAAATGATATCACCTATTACGTCAGTCCTATTTTATGAGGTCATTTAGCTTGCACGGGGATAATGGAAGAAGTTGGACTGGATGATTTGATTAGATTAACAGTCAGTAGGATAATGATAGATCGGATATATGATTTTGTGGTGGTTTGCGTCATCTCATGCTAATATTAGATAGTGCATATGGACTTATCCAAACAGAAATCCCTGTTGGAAAAATTCAAACCGTTTCAGGATAAAAGAGAGGGAAAATAGCCCAATTATATGGCATGGGAAATGGGAAGAGCGTTGATAGAAGAACTAAAAATTAGAAAGAAAAAGCTGTTGAGGCAAGCATTAAGGACTATAAGTAGCCAAGAATATGCTTCCCCTTAGGTGAGCAAGGGAGGGAACATGGGAATTGGATTAGATTTCCTGGTAGAGAGAGAAGGGGATTTTCTGATATCTTGCATGTTATTACAACAACAACAACAACAACAACAAACCCAATAGTTTCCCACAAGTGGGGTTTGGGGAGGGTAAGATGTACGCAGCCTTACCCCTACCCACCCCTGGAAGGGCAGAGAGTTTGTTTCCGATAGACCCTCGGCTAGAGAACGACTGAAAAGAAAAGGTATATCTTGCATGTTATTAAGTTATAGAATTGTTTGAAGAAAAAATGCAGACAATTAACATATAGGCTCTGTTATAGGGCAGTAGTATGATAGATGCAACACCTATATTGAAATCGGATGGTCGAATGGAGGGAATTTATTGGAGCGACAGCCGTAGAAAGTTATCTAGTAAAGTGAAAAGTAAGCTTTCTAGAACAGTTGTGAGACTAGCAGTGTTATATGGTAGTGAATGCTGATCTTGAAGTCCAACATATCCAGAATAATTGTTATCAAATTTTGGATGTTAAGATGGATGTGCAGTCCCAATAATTTTTTGCAGAACCTCCTCAGTACTTCATTAATGAAGTTTCTTATCTTATTCCAAAAAAAGATGGATGTATGGTCCCATTAAGACTAGATAATATTAGAATTGTTCACATCTGATTAAAGATATTAGTAGCACACATCGAGAATAAAATGGGAGAAGGCTGCTTTTGTGATGGTTTGGTATATTCTTCATAGACCTCCAAATGCACTGATTGGTAGATTATTGAAGGTGTTAACAGGGACAAGGGAGACCAAAATTAGATGGAGGGAAGTCATCCAAAAGATCTGCAATCTCTTCGAATCCGTGTGGACAAGCGAAAAATAGAGCATAACAAAAGCAAAAGATCCATATATGTGATACTGACTAGTTGGGATTAAAGTTTAGTCGTGTTGATAGACTTACATTAGGTTCGGTGCTTGCCTCAAAGCTTTTCATTTGCTTAGAGATTTGTATGTAAGTAAAAATGTAGTGAACCTCTACTTAATAGAAAAAAAATAAAAAAGGAAAAATGTAGTGAATCTCTAGCGTTCGAGAATCTCTACTTTGTCTTAAAAGACAAATTATTGGGCATTGGAACAAAATGGTTCCAAATGGAGTAGAATGAATATTGAGAATTCATATAGCTAAGCTACCCCAACTTAGTTTGGGATTGGGGTGTAGTTTTATTGTTGTTCCTCTGTTGAATCGAATCAAAATATGGCAGTGTCAAAAAGAGTTGAAACCAAAGATCTCCTTTTGTTGCTTTATGTGTACCATGTATATGCTGTCGTGGTACAATTTCGTCTATCTATTAGACCAGATGTAAGCTTGTATTGCCAGCTAGAGTCGAGCATGGATGAAAATTTAAATAGATAATCCATAGTTCAACTTGTTGAATGTATTTGTTTTTTCCTGGTTAAAGTTGCATGATAGTTGATAAATAATATACGTTGGTCGAAATCTTTTGGTTTCAATGATTCCCTTTGCCTTGAAGGGGAGCCTTGGCGTAACTGGTAAAGTTGCTGCCATGTGACCAGGAGGTTACGGGTTTGAGCCGTGGAAACGGCCTCTTGCAAAAATGCAGGGTAAAGTTGCGTACAATAGATCCTTGTGGTTCGGCCCTTCCCGGACCCCAAGCATAGCGGGAGCTTAGGCACCGGGCAGCACCTATTTTTGTTTGCCTTCAACTTCTCAGGTCACGATTGATAGTCTCTTGCTTTTGTGTGAACAATTGATGCCTCTTTACTTTTGACTTATTTTGTCTATAAAATTTTATTTTATGGATTTCATTGACAGGTCCGCATATTGTGATGCTCCTCAGTTGCCACCTGAGAACTTAAGAGAACTCTTGCCACGTTTGATTCCAGTATGCTTCATTCTGTGTCTATTTTTTTCATGCCCATATTGGATGATGTGTCCATTGCATGAGGAGTGTTCTTGTTTGTGGTGTTTCCAATACAACTTTTTAGGTTTTGCTGTCTAACATGGTATATGCTGATGATGACGAGTCGCTTTTGGAGGCAGAGGTTTGTTGTTTGATTCACCATTAGATGTCCCTTAAGTTCGAAAAAATTGGTATTAGTGGCTTTACCTAACCAAAATTACTTTGTTATTATCCTCAGGAGGATGGATCTCTCCCAGACCATGATCAGGTTTAATTGTCATTTCTTGTTGTTTTTCTAAGAAAAAATATGTAACAATTAACACACTTTGGAATAATCATGCTGGAAATCATGGTGAACAGGATCTCAAGCCTCGATTTCATTCTTCACGTTTTCATGGTTCAGAGGATGGTGAAGATGATGTATGTTATTTTGTTTTTTCCATAAGGAAATATCTTTTTGATTAGTGCACATTATTTTAGTGGCTTTTGAAAATTTTGATGCTTCTTATCTTAATTGCAGGACGAGGACATTGTAAACTTGTGGAACTTACGGAAGTGCAGTGCAGCTGCTCTAGATATTCTTTCAAATGTATTCGGGGATGACATTCTGCCGACATTGATGCCTGTGGTTCAGGTGATTGTTTATCCATGTTAAACGAAGAGCTGTTGTCTCCTGCCTTTCATGCCTCTTTTCTCTCTCTAATAAAAAATGTAATGCAATTTGTTGCCAGATTAGGAATTCAGTGGGAAAATTTATATTCATGTTTCTTGTTTTGTGAAAGGAAGTTCTTTTTCCTCAGATCCAATGTGAATTTGGTGTTAATTCTGAATAAATTGAAAAAGCTGCTAAATTTGACTCTGTTAATTTTCTCTTAATTAATTCATTGTTGTATTAATAGCTTTAGTGAATTCTAACTAAAACTCGGACAGTTAAACTGCAAGACCAGTATCTTTTATATGCATCTCCGTGAGCATATATATATATCGATCATGGTCACTATGGTGATATGTGGTTGCTACTGTGAGAAATAATATATGGGAAAAAAATTATATAATCGACCTATTAACAATGATAGAATGAGCCCTATATATAATACATCTACTCCTACTACATATGGGACTAGGACCTAAGTTGCTCAGACTCTTCACATTTCGTGTCGCACCCGAATCGACACGACATGGGTGTGGGTGTGGGATCCGTACTGGATCTGGTCAGTCAATCTTGGGTACTTTGACCAAAATCGGTAGAGAAATTCAAGATTTCTGAAAACAAAACAAAAGTTATGGTAAAATTGAAGAAAATGGAATACATGTATAGAAATTTCTATGTCGGTCTCTTTCCTTTTATCTCCATCTTGGATTCTCCTCTAGAAATGTAGAAGGCCTACAAGTTCTCCTTAGAAAATGCTTTTCTGTTTTCTTATTTGCTTAGCTCAAATGTTAATGTTCTAGGGTTAATGAACTTTTAGTCTTTTCCCGCGCTTTACAAGCACTATGTGAGTTTTTTACATGTTGTTTAATAATTTAGGCATATTTTTATAACTCTATTTTAAGATATTTGAATTATTTTTAGCCGAATCCCCGCACCCGTATCCGTACATGGATCCGTACTCTGGAATCTTAAATTTTAGATCATGAAGGATCCGACCTCTAGATCCGTACTCGTATCGGACACCCGCACCCGAGTCTGAGCAACTTAGTCTAGGACTAATTACACACATATATATTCTAACACTGTCCCTCAAGCCGGTGCATACAAATCATATGTACCAAGTTTGTTACATATGTAACTAATACGAGGGGACCAGTGAGGGACTTGGTAAAAATATCTGCAAGCTGATCATTCGACTTCAAAATATTTGTAGCAATATCTCCTGAGAGTATATTTTCTCTGACGAAGTGACAGTCAATTTCAATGTGTTTAGTCCTCTCATAGAACACCGGATTTGATGCATTATGAAGGGCAGCTTGATTATCACACACAAGTTCCATCTGGCTGATTTCACCAAATTTCAACTCATTAAGCAACTGTTTGATCCAAGCTAGCTCACATGTTGCCATAGCCATTGCTCGATATTCTGCTTCTGCACTAGACCAAGCAACCACATTCTGTTTCTTGCTTTTCCAAGACATCAAATTACCTCCTACTAAAACACAATATCCAGACGTAGAACGTCTATCAGAAGGTGATCCTGCCCAATCAACATCTGAGTATCCAACGCTCTACTCATGGCCTCGATCCTCAAATAATAACCGTTTACTTGGAGCTGACTTTACATACCAAAGAATGCGGACAACAACATCCCAATCACTATCATTGGGAGAATCCATAAACTGACTTACAACACTCACAAGAAAGGAAATGTCAGGTCTAGTCACGAGGTAATTTAATTTACCAACAAGCAACCTATATCTTGCAGGATCGCTAAGCGGCTCCCTCTGTCATGGTAGAAGTTTAAATTCAGATCTATCGGAGTGTCAACAAGTCTATAGCCTATCATTCCTGTCTCCTTAAGAATGTCTAAAGCATACTTCCGTCGTGAGATCACAATACCTAAGCTAGACTGAGCGACCTCAATATTGAAAAAATACTTTAATCTGCCCAGATCCTTAGTCTAGAATCTTAAAATGTTGAAAGAGATGTTGCTTCAACTTAATAATAGGGTCAATTGGTTTTTTGGCCTTTTACAAACTTGTTTTTAGTTTTATGACCCTATCTCTTTTTTTTACACATGAGAGATTTACTTTTACACATAAGAGATCTTTCATTTACACATAAGAGATCTAAAAAGGACATTTTCTTAAATTCAACATTGTAAAAGGCCAAGAAGGCTTAAAACCTCTAATACCATCCTGATCATGGCTGGTAATATCGTCAACATAAATCACCAGATAAATACAGAAATTTGAAACAGAATGCCGATAAAACACAGTGATCAGCTTTACTACGAGTCATGCCAAACTCGAAGTTACCAAACCAAGCTCGAGGAGACTGCTTTAGACCATAAAGCGACTGGTGCAAGCGACACACAAGACCACTCAACTCCCCCTGAGCAACAAAACCAGGTGGTTGCTCCATATACCTTCATCCTCAAGATCATCGTGAAATAAGCCTTCTTAATGTCCAACTGATAGCGAGGCCAATGGCGAACATTAGCCATGGATAGAAAAAGGTGGACTGATGCTATTTTAGCCACAAGAAAGAAAGTATTACTGTAATCGAGCCCAAATATTTGAGTATATCCTCTGGCAACAAGACGGACATTAAGTCGATCAACCTGGCCATCTGAACCAACTTTGACCGCATAAATCCAATGACAACCAATAGTAGATTTACCTGAAGGAGGAGGAACAAGCTCCCAACTACCACTCGTATGTAAAGCAGACATCTCGTCAATCATAGCCTGTTGCCATCCTGGATGAGACAAAACTTCACCTGTATCATAGGGATAGAAACAAAGGACAAAGAAGATACAAAAGCATAATGTGGTGATGACAGACGATGATAACTTAAACCGATATAATGGGGATTAAGATTAAGTGTGGTCCGTATACCTTTTCGAAGTGCAATCGGTGATTAGAAGGAGACAAGTTCGCAGTAGGAGTAGGGTCAGGTGCAGGACGTGAATCAGCTGGGCGCGGACGACGACGGTGATAAGTCAAGAGTGGTGTTCCTGTGGCTAGGGATCTAGGAAGAGCAACACTAGATTCCCCAACAATTTGTATGGGTAAGATTTCTGTGGCTGAGGGTGTAGGTGGAGCTATAGTAAACTCCTCAAAGGTCGGTATAGGTAACCTCATGTATATCAAGGTAGTCAGAAGAGGTAAAGTAAGGTCTAGACTCGAAAATCTGACGTTAGATGACGTAAGGTACCTACGAAGATTAGGTGAGTAACAATGATATCCCTCCCGAACACGAGAATAACTAACGAAGATACACTTGAGAGCACGGGGAGTTAACTTATCTTTCCCAGGGGCTAAGTTATGAACAAAACATGTTCTCCCAAAAACACGAGGGGTAGAGAGTATGAGGGTGACTGGGAAACAATACCGAATGCGGAATCTGATTGTGGATGAGAGATGAAGGCATCCGATTAATCAAATAACAAGCTTTGAGAACTGCTTCGCCCAAAAAACGCAATGAAACATGAGACTCAATGAGAAGTATGCGAGCAGTCTCAATGAGATGCCTATTTGTTGCTCTCTGCAACCCCATTCTGCTGAGGGGTATAAGGACAAAATGTCTGATGAATAATTCCTTAAAAAGTCATAAACTGCTGAAAAAGAGAGGATAAATATTCTAAGGCATTATCACTGCGAAAAGTGCGAATAGAAATACCAAATTGATTTTTGTTTTCGGCACAAAAACTCTAGAATATAGAAAACAACTCAGAACAATCTTTCATTAAGAAAAGCCAAGTACATCTTGAATAATCATCAATGAAACTAACAAAATAACGAAATCCCAAGAATGAACGGACTCTCCTAGGATCCCATATATCAGAATGAACTAAAGAGAAAATAGACTCTACATGATCAACACTACGCGGAAAGGTGGCTCGTGTATGTTTCCAAGTTGACATGACTCACAATCTACTGTAGACAAACTAGACAAACTAGGCACCATCTTCTGAAGCTTGGATAAACTTGGATGTCCTAAACGTCTGTGAATTAGGTCCGGAGAATCTGTAACTGGATATGCTGTGGAGGGATTAAGTGAGTAAAGGTAGTAAAGGCCTTGTGATTCACGCTCTGTACCAATCGTCTGTCCCGTATTGCGGTCCTGCATAATAAAAGAATCATCAATAAAATATATACCACAATGCAGGGCATACGTCAGACGACCGGCAGATGCAAGATTAAAAGGGTAGCCAGTGACGTAAAGAACGGAATCTAGAGTGGTAGAAGATAGGGGTAGCTTGTCCAACTCCTATTGCTTTCGTTTGGAACCAATTGACTAAAGTAACAACGAGAAGAGACTGTAAATATACAATATTCGATAAAAGTGATTTATTACCAGAGATATGATCAGAAGCGCCCGAGTCCATGACCCACGATTCAAGAGTACTAGACTGGGAAAAACAAGCAAAAGAATTACCAGCAACAGAAATCAGAGCAACCAAGACTACTTGTGGAGATGTTTGCTTACTTGCTAGATGAAGGAACTCATTATATTCCCGTTCATATAAAGAAAATCCATGGTTACTTGTAGACTCGATTTGAGCAACATAAGCATTTTTGGGTTGTCGACCATGTAAAGAATAACACACTTCGCGAATGTGTCCAAGTTTATCACAATAAGAACACTTGGGTCGAGATCTTCCAAAGCAACCTCCTCGTCTATTCTCATAGTTGAGATGCCCGATTTTCCACTGTCTGGAATGCGAGAACAGAGGAGTCAAGTGTCTCATCACTAGGTGACTGGGTGCTGCAGCAACGCGAAGTAATCGAGAAAATAGTTCATCAACTGTAGGGATAGTCGAACTAGCCAAGATTTGGTCACATACTGAATCAAGATCATTTGGAAGTCCAGCGAGTGTAAGAACTTGAAACATCTTCTGTCGTTGCTCTTGTTGCTTTTCAATACTAACAGAAACTGGCATCAACTTCTCAAATTCTTCCATGACTGCCTGAACTTGTCCCAAATAAGTAGACATATCCAATTCCTGTTTCTTTTAAGCTTGTCATTCGTGATATCAAATCATAAAAACAAGATATGTTATTACATTAGTGTATAAAGTACGAGCCTTTTCCCAAACTAAATGACATGCCTAGAATTGACGAAACAAAGGCATTAACTGGGAATCAATAGATCGCCACAAGATACTACATACTTGAGCATCAATCTTTTGCCACTGTGCTTTGGCCTTTTCATCTCCCTCACTAGCCTTTTTGGTTTAGTGATCTTAAACACCTTGACCCTTGCACCACAGTTCAACAGAGGAAGCCCAAGCTAAATAGTTTGAACTTCCCATTAAGGGCTCTGAAGTAATCATGAAGCTTGAATTTCCAGAACCTGTGTTTTTAGAACCAAATATATCAAATCCTAAAGACATCGTTGGATTGTAAATAATAAAAATAGTCAACTGTATCTCGCTGAAACAGGGAAGGGAACACTGTTTCTGCCGGGAAAACACTTTCTGCGGAAAAAATCACTGTAGGTACCAGAAAAAATTGAAAGTGATCGGAATAAAAAGAAAATATTATGGGTAGGCTCGAACTTACTAGGCGATCAAACTGTCCAAAAGAAATTTTTTCAAAATCTAGCCGGAACAGGCCTCATGCGCCGGCGCGTGGGACAGACGCGCCGCCAGAAACAGATCTTCGACAGGCGCGTGGGAGGGTCTTTGCCGGAGAATTGCACAACACCAAGGTCGCCCTAAAAAGGTCGCTGGAATTGAAGCACGGGAATAAATATTATTGACCTATTAACAATGATACAATGAACCCTATATATAATACATCTACTCCTACTACATATGGGACTAGGACTAATTACACATGCATATTCTAACAGCTACCAATGCAATAGCTGAAATTCTTCACTAATAAGCAATAACTTCATCAGTGAATCAATACTAACTTGAAGGCGAATAAATAGAGTGTATCATCTTGCAAGAAATGTTGATTATGTTAAAAGTTGAGAGGAAACAGGAGATACAATATAAATGATGCGAACTTTTGATTCTTTTGATTGAACCAAAAAAAAACTCTTGTTTCTTTTGTTGTTTGGTTTAGTAGCATGTCATTAATGGATCTAATGTTTAGAAATTGTTGTATCAGGACAGGCTAAATTGTCTGCTACAGGAGATGAAGCTTGGAAGGAAAGGGAAGCAGCAGTATTAGCTCTTGGTGCCATAGGTGAAGGCTGCATAAATGGACTCTTTCCTCATTTGTCAGAGGTAATCCTATCACTTGATAGCTCCTTCATATCGATTGGCCATGATTGAAGGAGTCTCTCTTTGAAATTCATGAACACTTACTGTTTTGCAAATGAGCCACCCCCTTATGTCTTTCTTTGCCAATTTGACTTCGATTGAGAATCCTGGTTTATTTGTGGGAAGTGATTTAACTCCATGGATGCCACCAAATGACATGTTGGGGCATGTCGACATATTTGAAATATCTTCTCTTCTGGAAGAAAATAACTTCTTTTTTTCCCCCAATTCAGATTATTACGTTTCTCATCCCGCTTTTAGACGACAAGTTTCCTTTAATACGAAGCATCTCTTGTTGGACTCTATCACGCTTCAGCAAATATATTGTTCAGGTTGGTGATCACTGCCCTATTTATCTTCAATCTGTTTATCGTAATTGTGAGTATACTAGCCCTTGGTAGAATTTGTACCATTCCCATGCCAACCCTTACTGGATCAAATTTGTTAAGATGCTGGGTTAGTTTCTCTATTTGGGATATAGTAGTGTTAACCACAAGCAGGGGTACATTTGATATGGTGTCCTTGAGCAATCAAGGTTTGGCAGATAGTGATGCCATTCTATAAGATGGGAAAGAGTTGTGGCCTTGTGCCGACAATTTTTGGTGGAAGCAGGAGATGCTGCTTATGTCGCTGAGATACATCAATAGTGGTGCAATTACTGGTTCTTGGTCTTAATGTTACTACTGTGGTTATTCCTCTATGAATTGGTCAAATATGGTCATTGCATGCTTGTCTAACATGGTGGTCCTGAATCAATTGTTAAATTAAGTTCCTAAACTAGCTACAAATTAAAAGTAGCTGGTTTCTTAATTCTTGTTTCTTTCGGTAATTATCAAATAGCAATGTACATTTCCATTTGTTGTGATATCGACTTGGTGAATTGCTTCTCAAACAAAATAATGACTTGGTGAATTGCTTCTCAAACAAAATAATGACTTGGTGAATTGCTTAAAAAATAAAAATAAAATAAACATAAAAAATAAAAAATAAAAGAGAAAAAAAAGAAAGAAGAAATATTGACTCGGTCAATTTGGCTTGCACCACTTACCCATCTTGTCCGACTATCATAAGTTTAAGTGGCTATTTGAGTTATTTCTTTCAGTATCCTTTTTTGGTAACTAAACATTCTTCCAAAATGATTTTGTTGTCATTAGGTAATGTTCCAGTTTTTCCGCCATTTAATTTACTTTCTTTCAGGTGACAGATCATCAAGAAGGACGTGAACAATTCAACAATATTCTAATGGGTATTCTGCGAAGAGTATTGGATGATAATAAACGAGTGCAAGAGGCTGCTTGTTCAGCTTTTGCTACCCTTGAAGAGGTATTAAAGCTAAAGCTGTTTATAGCTTAATGTTTTCTTAAATTTAGGCCAAATACATAGGGTCCCCCTTAAAGTTGCAATTTTCATTTAGGCACCTTAACTAGGGCTTGTTCCGAGACACTCCGACATGCTCCAAAGTGTGCCAATTAAACACAAAATATTGATATGGCAAAATAAGTGGTCCAAACTTCCTTAAGCGCATGAACCGATCCAAATAACACTTTTTCCCCTTTTTTCCAAACAATTTTTCGTTTCTTATCTTTCTCCTTCATCTTCGCCACCACCACCTGAGAGCCGGGCTCGTGTTTTTGCAGACAAAAGAGTAGTAAGGGTTAAAGTTTCTGACCTCAATCAAGCAATTTCAACAGCAAATAGACATCAACCTAGTTGGGTTAAGGATTCAGAAAACAGACAACCAATTCAAGAAAATATAAAGAAACCCAGTAAGAAAAACACTGAATTCCACTTACCCAAAAATCAAAATTGAGTCTTCACCTCAAAATCAAGCAATTTAACAAAAAACAATAAGTGAGCCCAGAAATCAAAATTTATCCAGGAAGCAATTTCTTCAGCCCAGCAAATTGTTAGCACTTCTTATGTGAAGATTTTTTCACCCCAGCAAATTGTTAGCACTACTTTCCGGTCTTCTTTATAGAGTTCTTCCATTTGGGTCCTGGAACAAGTTCAGAAAACTCCTTCAATTCCTTCATTTTTTTTCACCAGCCATGGTTCTTTCTTTATCACCTATTTCTTACAGCAAAAGAATTTGCTTCACTTTCTTGTGTTTGACTCCACTAAGAACAGAGACATAAGGTCTTTTACCCTAGTGACTATTTTTGATAAGGAAATGTTATAGATCAAATAGTTACCCTAGTGACTATTATGATGGAGAATAGGTTGCCGAAGAAAGTTTCATCGCTGGAATCCTAGTCATTAATAAAGTGGGGGCTTTTCATTGAAATAGATGATATTTAGTTTTAATCCAAGTTGGTATTACGTGGAATTAAAAAGACACGTGGTAGTTTTTTATTTGTTTGCTTTTACACATCGAAAGCATTCGTTAACGTGCACCTGAGTAATTTTTGGGACTTAAAATTTTGTGTTTAATCAGAACACTTTGGAACATGCTGAAGTGTAGGAACAAGCCCTAGTTAAGGTGCCTAAATGAAAATTCACGGCAACATTAAGGGGCCCCATATGCATTTGGCCTAAAATTTATGCCATAATAATGTTTTGATGATTGCAGGAGGCTGCGGAAGAGTTGGCACCATGCTTGGATATCATTTTGCAGCACCTGATGTGTGCATTTAAAAAATACCAGGTGCTTATGTGCTATCTCATTATGACTAAATTGTCATTTCAGTCTCCGGATAGTGTCTGACATCTTTGTGGTGTTCATAGAGACGGAACCTTAGAATTGTTTATGATGCCATTGGAACATTGGCGGATGCTGTTGGAGAGGAACTAAATCAGGTATAACTAATATGCTACCTCGTGTTTGTGTTTTCTTACCTTTTGAAATGTTGGTGGTTCTCTTGTTTCATGATCACAAATATGCTACCTCGTGTTTGTGTTTTCTTACCTTTTGAAACTAGATGAGTATTTCCCGTGCTATGCACGGGCCCAACAATTATACAAGAGATCAATAATTTGAGTCTATAATTTTGATCGAGTGTCTAATAATTTGAGTTGTGATATAATTTTAACTGTGTGTATGAACGCATATTTATACTTGATTGCAATTATAAATAGCAATAAATAATTTAGAATAACCATATCACCAACAAAAAGAACAGTTCCATTCTCAGTAAATAGTGAGAGACGTAGAAATTCATATTTACCTCCCCAGGGGCCCGGCATGTGTAGAACCGAGCAAAATATTGTATTTTGTTGTGCTTTTCTTTTAAAATCATTTACAAAATCAAATCCAAGCATATGACTACTTGTTCATTTCCTACCTATCATTCTATACCACATGATTAACCAGACGTATTATGTTGCTATCAGTGCTATACCACCTATGAACAATAGAAATTACATAGTCTAATTACGAGTCATATAGAGTATTGCAAGTATTTGCACCTTGCTAAAAACATCCACTACTTTGTATTCTTCATGAGAGCTTGCTCCTATTCTGAGACAAGAATAAGATATTAAATATTCTTAATAGAAAATATTTACTACTACAAGTCCCACACCAAGAATTTGAAATATATCATGATACAAAAATAAGCTAGAAAGAGAGAACATAGACACAAGCCAAGTATCTGTGCAACTAAATTACTCTAGAGTACTATAAGTGTCTTAGTCACGCTCCTTTAGAAAAGATGGAATAATAATAATAATAATGTATTTAAAAGCAAAGACGTCGTTACTACAATCGAAGAAATGCTAATTCTTATTTTTTTAATAAGCTAATGCTAACAACTATATAAATATACTGAAAATTTAATGCAAACAATCTCCAGAAAAGATTGTCTACAATTTTACTTACCCTCAAACAAAAGAAAGAAGTAAGCCCAATCACATGATTAGCAAATGTCTAAAAAGTCCATTAAAATATACAGTTGTGACGTAGATTCATTGATACAATTCCTATCACCACTAAAAGAATAAAATATGGACTGACATGGCATTTTTTTATATCATCTCAACATTATTATGTGCTTGGCAATAAACTTATTTTATTTACTCATCAAGTTGGTGTTGCTCATGACCCAATTTATACCTTAGTCATCAGACTTCTTTAAACGGATGACTTCCTTAAACTTATCTTTAATGAATAATCAGTCTATAACAAAATCAACTAATAAAAACAATTAAGATTTCACAAAATACCATAGAAGATGTAATCAAATAAAAAATGTCCTCAAGATATAGTCATCGCAAAATAATGCTTAATCCTGACACTTCCGATTAGAAGTTAATCAACATGGAATTTGAATGCTTGATAAACCAAGTAACATCAATAACTCTTTTGTGTTATTCTATACG